GAGATGTCCGCGGGTTCCCGCCGCAAGGTCTCACAGAGCTCACCGCCGCACGCCCTCAATGGCATCGAGGCCGATCATGCCATGCCCGCGCAGTGTCTATGGAGCCTCGTCGCCCTCAAGCCGAAGACGGTGACGGCGGACAGGCCGATCACCCCCACCACCTCGCCCTACAGGTTGCTCATGCGGATGAGGGGGGGGAATTGGCAAGTGGGAGGTGGCCAAGGCAGGACACTGGGATGCAGCAATCAAAGGATCCAGTTGTCTCCGCGTGGGAATCATCTCCGAACTGTTTGCAGAGGTCGGTTCCGAGCTCCAGATCAAGATAGTAGAGGGGCTTTGGGATCCAGAGAAGTTATACGATACCATCAATACCCCAACCATGGCACGGAAAGCGAACGACATGGGGTACCCCGTCAGATGCCTCAGTCTCGGGATCATCTTGCCGTGCGGTACCTCACGAGAGAGGTGGGGGGGGTCAGCCGCGCGATCGTTCCCCAACGCAGCATCCTAGCAGGTTGCGGGCAGAGCGTGACCTGGACGGGAGTTCTTCTTTACGACCCCCCCCCATCAGGCACACCACCGCCTCCCTCGTTTCACCATCGGGACCTGGATCGACGATCTGCGCGCCCGCGTGGCCGGCTCCAGCAGGCCCCTGCTCGACGAGTTCCCAGAGGCCATGGAGTTTATCAAGGAGGGGTTGGTGGATCTTGGGTGCAAGTTGCCCCCCTTAGTCGGCATTATTGGCCAACAACAGTGACATCCGAAGCCAGATGCAGACGAGTTGCCACAAAATCGGGATCCCCGTCCAAACCAAGTTGGGCACCAGGGACCTCGGCTTGGACTCTACAGAAGGGAAGCGTAGGATCCTCAAGGTTCGTAGAGCACGGCAGCGTCTCGGGTTCAGAGGCATAGGAACATCAAGGGGCTCCTAAGGATCACCAAGAGCGCCCACCGTCTATATCGAGCGGGAGCCCAACCACAGCTTCATTAGGGGCTCGAAGGTCATGGCGTTTCTCCTACCGAACTCACCAGACACAGGATAGCGGCAGGTGTAGCGCTAGGAGCCAGCGAGCCAGGGAGTTGTCTCACGGCGGGCCTGCACCAGTCCAAGCTGCCGCCCGACGCCCTGGGCCCTGCCATCTGGTTGCGCCTCCGCCTGTTTGAGACGTGGTTCGAGCTGGTAGCGACGGAGCCGCACCTCAGGAGCGGGATCGAGGCAACCTGGCCGAAGGTCATTGCAAAGCTCCAGAGGCCCAGACGCTGGAACAACGTAGTTCGCCACCCCAGCGCAGTGATCGGGACCCTTCTAGAGGAGGAGGAGGAGGAGGAGGAGGAGGAGGAGGAGGAGGAGGGTGGAACCCAGACTCAGCATGGCCCTGGACAGGGCCAAACGGCGAGGTGTTCCCAGTGGGCCCCGAGGAGTTCGAGGACCAAGAAATTGTGTTCTGTGAAGGTTCCTGCAGTCTCTCCATATCAGAAGGTCTGGGGAGGAGCGCAGGGAGGACATGCAGCAGGAGGATGTCCAGGAGGAGTTGATATCAAGAGCACGCGATGGCAGATCGAGAGTTTTTGTCAGAGATGGCCAGAAGCACCTCGCGAAGGCGCTCAAGGCCATCAGCAGTTGCTCCGCCTGGAGTCCACGCCGCAGGTTCGAAGGAGGGATCGCCGAGAATGCCGACTGCCCCCTGTGTGGAAACCACCACTGCGACGATTGTTACAAGTTCTGGGGCTGCCCCCTTCTCCACCAAGCGGGACACCCCCTCACCCTGGCCACCGAAGACCTCAGGGACCTCGCCCTAGGGGATGACCAGCCCGCCTGCCTTTGGATCAGAGGAATGGTACCAGCTGAGCTCGCCCTGAAAGCAGTAGAGGACACCACACCCAAGCACCCCATCTTGCAGGGGACGGGCGCCTTCCAGGACCCTCCCGAGCCGAGGGGCGGTTGGCGCCTTGGCTCCGTGGACGGTTCAGGGGGTGCCTTCTCGGCCGATCCCCGCCTCAGGCGAGTAGGGGCCCAGACGATCAATAGAGCGGAGCTAAAGGGGCCATCGAGCTCCTCCGCCACGCTCGAGGGGATCTCTTAGTGGTTACATGTTCGGCCTATCTCATCAGAGGCCTGCACAAGGGACCCCGTAGGAGAATGCCCACCAACAGGAGGCTCTGGTTTGAGTATTGGCGCGTCTTGGGGTCCCGTGAGGGCCAAATTAGGTACCTCAAGGTGAACAGTCATGCTACCGACCCCGAGGTCCGCGCCCGTTTTCCAGCCTGGGCCCTTTTTTCCAACGACCAGGCGGATCGGCTCGCAAGCGGTACCCGAGGATCTAGCCCAGAGACTGTTGGCCCTCGACACCCTCGCTGCTCAGATCTGAGGGCGTCTTGCACCGGTCCAGATGCTGTGGTGGATACACTTCCCAGTGGTAGAGGAGGCCGCCGAGACCAAACGGGCTCGGCTGCGCGAACGCAGCGATAGGGCATTCCAACACCTCCTCTCGGCGACCCCTCACCTGCCCCAAGTATGTGATGATCAAGTGATGTGCCACAGATGCGGGAAGCAGACCCACAGGGGGTCCTGCGCCAGGTGGCTAAGATCAGCGTGCAACCCCACCGCAGCCGTCGGGGCCGAGCTGATCAATAGCATCGCCGAGAGTGGAGGGATTTTAGATTTCAAGGAGGAATGGCCTGCCATCCACCCCAGCCACCGACATCACCTCGCCCTGTGCCGCGGGGTTCTTTGGTGTCGGCGGTGCGGGCGTTGGCGGGTTCGGGCATCTCGGAAATTCACAGTGCCTTGTACCCCACCCCGCAACAGCCAGTGGGGGACATAGGCCATCCTAAAGCTCACCAAGGAGCAGCTCCCACCAGGCCTCAAAGGATGGCCCGTGGGCAGCTCGTGAGCCCCAGCAGTCCTCCTGGTGCGCAGGGATTGGGACTGTCCGAGGGGCGCTCGCGCGGGAGGAGGAGGAGGAGGAGGAGGAGGAGGAGGAGGAGGAGGAGGAGGAGGAGGGAGCAGGGAGGAGGAGGGAGGGGGGAGCAGGGAGGAAGGAGGAGAAAGGAGGGAGGAGGGAGCAGGGAGGAGCAGGGAAGAGCAGGGAGGAGGAGGAGGAGGAGGAGGAGGCGGAGGAGGAGGAGGCGGAGGAGGAGGAGGAGGGTCGAAGCGCGACGCACTTCGCGCCCTCGAGGGCGCCCATTAAGGGCTCCAGGCCGCCCGGCCCCCGGGGCGGGGCGCGCCGCCCCCGCCTCTCCGCCTCCACCAGGTCCACGATGGAGTCCACCGAGGCGCCGCCTCGCCGGCCGCGGCCGCGCGCGCGGGGGGGGGGCGCTCGGGCCCGCCGCCGGGGCCTCGGAGCCTCGAGCCGCCGAGGCCTCGGACCCTCGAGCCCTCGAGCCTCGAGCCTCGAGCCTCGAGCCTGGATCCTGGGTCCTCGGTCCTGGATCCTGGATCCTGGATCCTGGGTCCTGGATCCTGGATCCTGGATCCTGGGTCCTGGGTCCTGGATCCTCGAGCATCCGAGGCCATGGCCTTGGACCCCTGGCCCCGAGCCCGCGTCCCTCGGGACCCCCCTGAGCCCTGGGCGCTGCGGCGTTTCTCACGCCGCGCGTGCTCGCGCGGTTTGGGGCCCGGGGCCATCACAGATCCATCCGGCTCGAGAGATGCGGCAGACAAACGCCCAGACGTGCGGCGTTGGCAAAACCGCGACTTGCTCGGCGGGCCACGAAGGGCGGCATCAGCCGTGGTTCCCGAAGTGGCGGCGCGACGTCAGAGCGGTTTCCAGGTCGGTTGGCTACAGCGGGGGGGTCTGAAACCAGAAGGGGGCCGCGGGAGCCATACCTTAGGCAGGCTCGGAAGCTATATCGCTGTCTTCCCGTGCGACGCCATGATTTTTTCAACACGCGGTCCCCCGAAGTCCCGACCCTTTCCCCGGGGCCAGTTTTCTCATCCTGAATCGTTTTTTGACGGTCCCAGGGCTCAGCGAGCGCCCCCTGCAGGCCAAAACTGGCCAAAAGCCTGCCGTGGTGATTTTTGTTTGCGACGCGATCATGTCTGGGAAGGGTGTGTAAGGCTCTTGTCGTGAACTTCTGCGATGGCGCAAATTTCTGTCGCAACGCCCCCAGACACCCAGGCGGCGCCAGGAGCCTCCAGACTGCGCAGGAGATCTACCTGCCGACGCCAGCTCCCAGCAGACTGTGCTGCGCTGCGACGGAGACCGGGACACCCAGCGCTCAAATGCGTTCGATGCGTGGCACCCTTGAGGTCCGAACAACTTCCGCGGGCTGTTCGTCCGGAGTTTTCTCACGGTCCCGGGGGCCAGCTGAAGGCCCCCGGAGGCCAAAAACAACCCCCCAAATCTGGCCGCTCCACTCTCATCGGAGCCTCGGATCTCTGGGGAGGGAGGAAGGGAACGAGACGCAAGCACTGGCGACAGTGAGCACGCAGGCGGGATGCCAGGGCCAGCGGGACGAAGCAGGCGGCAAGGGCAGGCGGCAGGGGACAGAGGGGAGACAGCAAGCAGGGAGTCAGGGAGACAGCAAGCAGAGAGAGACCTCGAAGACGACGACGACGACGACGACGACGACGACGACGACGACGACGACGACGACGACGACGACGACGACGACGACGACGACGACGACGACGACGGCGGCGAGGGGGGGCGGCGGGCGGAGGTCCCGACCGCTCCCCCCGGGCAAGCTTCTCGCCCCGGATCCGTTCCTGACGGCCCTGCCTCCGCTTTTGTCGCTTCTTCGAACCTCGGAGTGCATAACGTACTGCTCATCTTATGTCGGGCGTGTCCCCCTACAGGGGGATTTTCGACGAAAAATGAAAAATACCCCAGAAATGCCCCAAAAAGTTCAAAAAACACTCAAACAAAAAATCCCCAGACTATTTTTGCATTATTTTTTGGCTATGTTTGGGATATTTTCCTTTTTGGTCGAAAATCCCCCTGTAGGAGGACAGGCCCGACCTAATGCTCATCTCGATTCTGCCCGAACTGGTGCGAGGAGTGCACCTCTCGAGTCTGCAGAACTGATGCCTGGAATATCGACCCACGTGCGTTTGATGGGGCCCGAAAGCGGCCCTGGAGGGCCAGCATCGAGAAAGGAACGCCGGTCGGAGAGGCCATCTCGTCGGAGACCTGGGCTCGCAGGCAGCAGTCGGCGGCCTGCCCAGGGGGGGAGTGAGAGGGGGCGGGCCCTCTCAGAAGGCGCGACAGGCCGGAGGGCTTCTGAGAAGCCCCGCCGCCCTCCTCCTCCTCCTCCTCCTCCCTCCTCCTCCCTCCTCCTCCTCCTCCTCCTCCTCCTCCTCCTCCTCCTCCTCCTCCTCCTCCTCCTCCTCCACATTATGTGGAACCGATGAGCGTACAGGGGCCACAGCGGGCGGTGGATGTGGGCCCAGTTCGGGCCAGAGGGGCCCGATCACGTCCATAGCCACCGCCTGCCGAGGTCCCCGAAGGCCGATCGCGGTGGTTGAGGGTCCTCCTTCTAATCCGGGGAACCCGGGAACGCTCTCGGCGAGGCGCGGCTGCTGGAAAGCACCCCCAGGCTGGAAAAAACCTCCCGGAGCCGACGAAGAAAAAAAAAATGAAAAACAGACCCTCTTGCCTGAGATCCGACGTTGCAAAAAAAATGCAACATCGCAAAAAATCACCACCAGAGTCATGGACCCCATCTGTCTGCCTCCTTTTTCGAGCCAGATCGATATATGAGGGCCCCGGGGCCAAAAAGTTGAACGAAAACGTTTTTTTTTTGATCCGCGGGTCGAGAGCGCACCTCTTCCGGTCGAAGCTGAGCGGGCCGCGCGAAGCTTGAATTCGGCAGAGAAGGGGGGGGGGAGAAACGAAAACGCCCGGAGGGAAAGACCTGCAGCGCCAGGCTCTCAGGGCCCCCACCCTCCCCGAGGTCCGGCGCCGCGGAAGCGAGGGGGGGGATCGGCCACACACGCAAGACGTGATCCCACTGGCAAGAGCGCCCTCCGGCGCGCGGCCCACGGATCGGACCGAGGCATACGATCGAGGTCGGCTCGGGGAGGGTGCCCTGGTGGTTGGGAGTTTCTTGTGCATCCTGTAGGGGGCCACATGCGAACCCTACCCCTTACCCCCCACGATTTCTGAGGGGGAGGGTGGGGTTCACTTCGTTCAGGAGCTCCTTAGCGAAGTGAACCCCACCCTCCCCCTCAGAAATCGTGGGGGGTAGGGGTGGGGTTCGCATGTGGCCCCCTATCCTGGCGACGTAGTCCCAAATGGTCGATTTGACTTGGCTGGCGGAGGGGCCCTCCCACGGAGGGTACCCGCATGTTTGGGATGTTCTCGCACATCCTGGGGAGGGTGGTCCCAGGTCGTCCACTTGTTTTGGTCGACGGAGGGCCTCATGTTCTCAAGGGATGCCCTTGTGGCCGAGGTGGGGGGTGGCCCTCTGGGCACACCACCAGGCACGCAGACCGCTGATTCCGCATCGCGCTCCGCGGTCGAGGGGGCCCCAAAGGGCCCGCACCCGAGGCCACTCCGGCGAGGAGCCGTTGCAACGTGTGGCCGACGGAGGGAGCCCGACCCTCCTCCTCCTCCTCCTCCTCCTCCTCATCCTGCTCCTCCTCCTCCTCCTCCTCCTCCTCCTCATGCTTCTTCTCTGGACATCCCCCGCTCTGCTTTGTCCGATGCGTGGACACCCAGAGGTCCTGACCACTTCCCAAGCGCTGGCTGTGCGTCTCGTGGGCCGTTCTCTGACGGCCCCCGAGCCCGCGGAAGGCCCCCAGGGGCCAAACGCGGCCAAGAACTGGCCGCTCCGAGGTCTGTCGGGGCCTCGGATAATCTCTGGCGGGGGAGGAGGAGGAGGAGGAGGAGGAGGAGGAGGAGGAGGAGGAGGAGGAGGAGGAGGAGGAGGATTACCAGGATTACCGCAATCGCAGGTGCGATACAACATGAGACTGACAACTCCCCTCCAGCCTTGCTAGCCAAGAAGTTTGCGGAACACGTGAGAACGTGATACCGCCAAATGAGTCCCTGCATCATTGAGATGTTCACTCCTTCCTGGCCGAACCACCAAGAGCGGATGAGGCGACACGCACCTTGGCGCGCCGCGCGCAACACGTACCTTGACGCGCCGCCCGTTCTGACAATTCCGAAGCGGCGGGCGCACTGCCCTCGCATAGCGACACACCACTCGGCGTGCCGCCCCGATAAGCCACCCGAGGGGCGCCACTCCCTCGGGCGACTGCACACCTCCACGCACGCCAGGGCGGGGGACCCTGGCAGTGGGAAGAACGGGTGTGGATCCACCATGAGCCCCCCGCAGGGGACCCCCCACGGGAGCACGACCGATCGCAACCACTTCGGACCGATCATCAACTCTTTCGGACCGATCGCAAACAGCGATCGGTCCGAACTGGTTGCGATGTTTGGGGCTCGTTTCACTAAGGTTTTGATGAAGGAATAGATCATAAAAGCGCTTCTGGGTGCAATGAGCTCCCTCCCTTAAGTCGCCCAATGGGAAACTGAAAAAGCGGTTGCGATCGGTCTGATCACAGACGGCCGGTCATGATCTCAGCTAAACAAACGTACTTGCACTCGAACGTGGCCATGATCCGTATGCAATGTCTATGTGATTCGTATACGATCGAAACCGAAACTGAGCGAAAACGCCCGGCGCGAGACAAATTGCATCTCAGAAGGAGGAGGAGGAGGAAGAGGAGGAGGAGGCGGAGGAGGAGGAGGAGGAGGGAGGGCGGAGGAAGGGAGAAGGAGGAGGGGAGGGAGGAAGGGCAGGAGCAGGAGGAGCAGCAGCAGGAGGAGGAGGAGGAGGAGGGGGAGGGAAAGGAAGAGGACAGGATGGCAAGGCGGGTAGACGCGGCGGCCCAGACCCCCAACGCTATGACTTGTCACGACTTTTCCAGAACGTCGACCCCAGAGGTCTGGACGAATTCCCCTACGGTAGGCTCGTGCGGCGTCGGCACTCGCACGGCTTTTGGCACCGCGCCGATCGTTTTGAATCGATCGCGGCCCCGATCGTTCAAGGTTGAATTTCGCCAGGTACAATGGCCCCACCGTGTCCATCGGTGCTTCCGCGTCGCAGAATGCAGCCTTGAACGCCTTCGCCAACGTCGCCGGCGTGCCAACGCCACACGAACCTACAGTAGACCAGCATTGCATACTGAGTCATTCTTCGACGGCCCCTGGACCCTGCGAAGGCCCCCGGAGCCCGAAACAGAAACAGATGTTGTCACGACGCCAGGCGGTCTCGGCCTGTGGTGGTTGTGGGAACGTTGGCTGGGGGCTGGGGGACGTGTGCGCCCTGCGCGGCCTGCGAGACCTTTGGCACCCGTGCGACACGCAGGACCTGTGGGACCTGTGGGGCCTGCGGGACAGGCGGGGACGGCGGGATCCTTGGGACTTGTGCGACCTGTGGGAACTGTGGACTTGTGCGACCTGTGGGGACTGTGAACTCAGAAGCCTCTCAGAAGCCTCTCAGGAGCCTCCCGTGAGCCTCCCAGAAGCCTCTCGGAAGCCTTTCAGAAGCCTCGCAGAAGCCTCAGAACCCCGCCCCTCCAACCTGGGCGCGAAGCCTCTCAGAGAAGCCTCTCAAAAGCCTCAGAGCCCCGCCCCCCCAATCTGGGCGCGAAGCCTCTCAGAGAAGCCTCTCAGAGAAGCCTCTCAGAGGCCCCAGAGAAGCCTACCAGAGGCCGCAGAGAAGCCGATCAGAGAAGCCTCTCAGAGAAGCCTCTCAGAGAAGCCTACCAGAGGCCTCAGAGAAGCCCATCAGAGAAGGCTCTCAAGAGGCCTCAGAGAAGCCTTTTTTTTCAGAGGCCTCAGAGCAGCCTATCAGAGGACTCAGAGCAGCCTATCAAAGGCCTCAGAGAAGCCTGTCTCAGAAGGCTCTGGAAGGCCTCAGATAAGACCCAGAAAGGCCTCCGGAAGAAAGAAAAAACTGAAAGGCTTCAGAGAAGCCTCTGAAAGGCTCCAGAGAAACCTCTCCAAGGTTTCAGAGAAGCTTCTGCTAGGCTGCAGAGGAGCCTCTGAGAGAAAAAAAACAGAGAAGTCTCTGAAAGGCTCCAGAGGCCTCTGACAGGCTTCAGAGAAGCCTCTGAACAGGCTTCAGAGAAGCCTCTGCAAGGCCTCTCAGAAGCCTCTGGGAGGCCTATCAGAGGCCTCGCTGAGGCTTCTTCGAGGCCTCTCAGAGGCCTGTCAGAGAGCTCTGCAGAAGCTCAGCATAAGCAAGCTCCTGGATCGGTTGCAACCCAGTGTTCTTCAGAAAGGTTTGTATAGGAACCCTTCAGGTTGCGATCACTCCGTTTCTAGAGGTTGCAATCCGACCGAAGTGGATCCTGAACAGTCCGAAGTGGTTATAATCGGTATGATTCCCGACCCCCCACCCGCCCAAGCGCACGCGGTGTACGTGCCGGGCCACAGCAAGGGGCAGGAAAACATGGGGACGAGGCGCAATTGTCTCTCCCCCTGGCCCACTACGGGCAAGCTGGGGTGACGATCGGGCTACAACCCGCCTGTTTTTCTGGGACGCCCGAGGGCACCCAGTGGCACAGGTGCCTGAGGAGGAGGAGGAGGAGGAGGAGGAGGAGGAGGAGGAGGAGGAGGAGAAGGAGAGGAATTGGACGGGAGGGGGATGGTGATGGGGATCAGGATGGGGATGGGGATGGGGAAGGGGAAGGGGGAAGGGGAAGGGGATGGGGATGCAGGAGGAGGAGGAGGAGGAGGAGGAGGAGGAGGAGGAGGAGGAGGAGCAAGAGGGGGAGGGGGAGGGGGAGGAAGGGAGGGAGGGAGGGAGAGGCAGGGAGGAGGGAGGTGGGAGAAGGGAGCAGGAAGGAGGGAGCAGGAAGGAGGGAGGAGCAGGAGAAGGAGGAGGAGGAGGAGGAGGAGCAGGAGGAGCAGGAGGAGGAGGAGGAGGAGCAGGAGGAGGAGGGACGGCGAGGCGGCGCGGAGCGGAGCGGCCGCTGCCTGACCGGGCCGCCGAGCTGCACGCCAGCTTGTCGCCCACGTCCAGCGCGTTCGCGCGCCTCTCCCGCGGGGCGCGCCGGCGGGTGAGGCCCGCGGCGGCGGGAGGCCCGCGGGCGCAGGGGCGAGACGGGGCCTCGAGCCTCGACCCTCGATCCTCGACCTTCGAACCTCGGGCCTCGGCCCTCGGCCCTCGGCCCTCGGCCCTCGACCCTTGACCCTCGAGCCTGGAGCCTCGGTCCTCGGTCCTCGACCCTCGATCCTCAGTCCTCGACCTCGACCCTTGGCCCTCGAGCCTCGACACGCGGCCCTCGAGCCTCGAGCCTCGACCCTCAACCTCGATCCCCGACCCTCGATCCTCGATCCTCGAGCATGCCTGGCGCTGGCCTTGGACCCCTGGTCATGGACCCGCTTCCCCGAGGGGGGGGGGGGGGGGGGCACCCTGAGATCGGGGGCACCACCTCCGCCACCGCCAGGGAGAGGGCTGCCCGAAGTCCAGCACTGGTTTGGGTGGGAAGGCGCACGCCTTGCAGGATCGATGATCGAGGAAGAAGGAGGGAGGAGCGAGGAGCGAGGATCGAGGAGGAGGAGGAGGAGGAGGAAGAGGAAGAGGGAGGAGGAGGAGGAGGAGGAGGAGGAGGAGGAGGAGGAGAAGGAGGAAGAGGAGGAGGGAGGAGGAGAAGGAGGAGGAGACGAGCGTACCGAGGTGGAGAAGGAGGAGGAGGAGGAGGAGGAGGAGGGGTAGGAGGAGGGAAGGAGGAGGAGGAGGAGGAGCAGCACGACGACGACGACGACGACGACGGGGAACACGACGACGACGACGAGAAAGAGAGAACCAGCACCCGGGAGAAAAACTTGGGCGAAGACAATGACACGGGTCCTTCGCATGATGGCGTGGCGACCTGGAGGCCTTCTGCGGCTGCTCACGCGGGCCGCCAGCGCGGCACGCCACATCGGGAACGACGGCGGCCACGCGCGGCCCTGCGCGGGCAGCTCCAAGCGCGAGTGAGCGCGCGGTCGACCCCGTTGTTCTGCGTCGCCCGCGTGTCGCGCCGGGCGCTTCCGCCCAGCTTCGGGCCCCCGAACCATGCTAGATCCAGGTCGAAGTATGCCGTTATGGGACGGGGTCCAGGGCTCTGCTCGCGATTGCGCGCGATGTGGCAGTTTGGTCTGGAAATCACCTCGGCGGATATGAGGCCGCCTCCCCTCTTCGCCATTGGAATGGAGCGGGGTCCTGCCCATGACCACCCCTGAGATCTGCTTATTGCATTCTTCACCGGGCGAGCTTCGGGCCATGAAGCCATCACAGTTCGATCCAGCTCATGACACGCTACAAATAGATAGGGCCGATAGGTCTGATTGCGAATTTTCGGGCGGGTGTTGGGGTCTCTCTTCGCCCGTGAAGGGAGCGGGGTCCTGACCGCGCTTTGCATTTTTTCAGCGCTGGGCGTTTTCGCCCGGTTTCGGGCCCCAGTGCCGTCACAAATCGATATGGCTCGAGAATCAGAAATGCCATAGAAGAACGGGGCATTGGGATCTGGACGCGGTTTGTCTCGATACTGCTTTGTTTCGCAACGCCCGATCTCAAGGCAGCGACAGGGGCTCTACTCAACCGCACTTCTTTGTTTTTTTTCCCATGCAATGCGTGCACCTGGCTCTTCTTGCGCTTTTCCATGACATCCGGAGGCCTAGCGTCGAACGGCCGAACGTTGGAAAATACATCCGGCGATCTGTATGTCCGGCTCTCGCCGAGGCTGGCCGCGTCATGCCCTTTGAATATTGATGGCCTCGTTTGGGAAAATCTAAACACGCACGTGCATGCGTATATATGAATACATGCATGGCTGCATACCTGCATGCATGCATGCATACATACATGCATAACCATATCCATAGTCATGTACATATACATATATACATGTCTATATAGATGCATGCATTTACGTGCACTTATACATATACCAGCAATAATACAAACGCACATGCATTTGCATACAACATATGCATGTACATGCGTATATATATACAACTACATAAACGTATACATCTACGTAAGCATGTATCGATACGTATACGCATACATAGACATAAACATATACATATATCTATATACATGTACGTATATGCATATAAATGCATACACATGCACCTTTACATGTGCATATACAAATGCATATGCGTATACACAAGTAGATGTGCATACATGCATAAAAAATCATGCACCCATACCTAAACATATAGATATGCATATGCATATACATCTACATGTACATTACACAGACATATACCTGTACATATCCATAAACAAAAACATATACGTACACATATACTCCCCAATCAGAGCTTGCCTCTGTAGGGCTCCTGGCAGATTCATATGGTTAGATTAGCTGCGTCGCCGATTTCGGCGACCCGCCAGGGTGCCCAGGTGCCCGGGTGCCCGGGTGCCTGGGTGCCGCGGAGCTGCGTCGCCGATTTCGGCGGCCCGCCCGGGTGCCTGGGTGCCCGCGTGCTCGGGTGCCCAGGTGCCCGGGTGCCCGGGGGCCCGGTAGCCCTATAGCCCTGTAGCCCTATAGCCTCATAGCCGCATAGCCCTATAGCCCTATAGCCCTCTAGACCTCTAGCCCTATAGCCCTATAGCCCTCTAGCCCTACAGCCCTATAACTCTATAGCCCTATAGCCCCATAGCCCTATAGCCCTACAGCCCTATAGGCCCATAGCCCCGTAGCCATATAGCCCTATAGCCCTATAGCCCTATAGCCCTATACCTGGCCCGGCACAGAAACGGAAAGAGCGCTTCAGAAACAGAAACCGAAATTACTCACACCACCGTTCGTACCGGGAGCCTTGGCGTTGAGAGCTTGTTACGTCACCCCTCGCTCTTGGGAGCCTTGGGGTTCAGAGATTGTTGCGTTGCCGCCCGTTCCTGAGCCTTGGCTGGGCCTTGGTGTCAGGAACTTGTTACGTCACCGCTCTCTGCTGGGAGCCTTGGTCTTATCAGCTTGTTGACGTCACCGTTCGCTCTGGGGAGCCTTGGCGTGAAGAGCTTTTTGCGTTACCGATCGCTCTCTATTTGGCGTCTCTGGGCCTTCGTGGGAGTCCTATTGCGGCCCTTTGGGAGCCAAGAGGCCTCTTGGGACGCCTCTTGGGGGCCTCTTGGGGCGTCTTCGGGGGCTCTTCGGGCCTCCTGGGAGCTTCGTGGGGCGAAAGGCTAGACTTTTCGGTTCGTGGTCCCCCTCTTGGGGCCGCCTTGGGGCCCTCTTGGGCCGTCTTGGGCGCCTCTTGGGCCGTCTTGGCGCCCTCTTGGGCCGTTTGGGGGGGCCTCTTGGGAGCCTCTTGGGCCGTCTTGGGGCGGTTTGGGGGGCCTCTTGGACCCTCGTCAACGCCGTGAAAGCCGAAAAGCCGCGTATGCTAAAAATACACCTTTTCCCATAGGAAATCAATGATTGTGGCCTCCTGGTGGCCTCTTGCGACGCCTCTTGGGGGCCTCTTGGGGCTTCTTGGGGGGCTCTTGGAGCCTCCTGTGAGCGTCTTGGGACGAAAGGCTAGACTTTTCGGTTCGTGGTCCCCCTCTTGGGGCCGTCTTCGGACCCTCTTGGGCCGTCTTGGGCGCCTCTTGGGCTGTCTTGGGGCCACCTTGGGCCGTGTTGGGGGTGTCTTGGGAGCCTCTTGGTCCGTCTTGGGGCGGTCTTGGTCGCTTCTTGGGCCGTCGTCGACGCCGTGAAAGCTGAAAAGCCGTATATGCTAGAAAATGCACGCTTTCCGATGGAAAATAAATGATTTTGGCCTCTTGGGGCCCTCTTGGGACGCCCCTTGGGCGCCTCTTGGGGGCCTCTTGGGGGCCTCTTGGGCCGTCTTGGGCGGTCTTGGGCTCTCTTGGAGTTAAGGGTTTCGCCCACACCAGTTTTGATGCATCGAGGGCACTGTTGGGCAATCTTGGGGCCCCTTGTACGTCTCCTTGGGGCCTTTCGGGGCCACTTGGGAGGCTTCTGGGGGCCTCGTCGGGCCACTTGGGGACTCTTGGGGCCTTCTCCTAGCCTCTTAGGGCGGAAGACTCTGCTGTTGGGTTCGCGTTCCCATTCTTGCGCCTCTCTTGGGGACGTCTTGGGGCCCTCTCGGGCCGTCTTGGGCGCCTCAGGCACCGTCTTGGGGCCTCGTAGGTCGTCTTGGGCCCTCTTGGAGGCCTCTGCGGCTATCGTGGAGCGGTCTTGGGGGCCTCTTGGGTCGTTTTGGAGCGTCGGGATGTCAAAAAGGCTGAAACGCTGAAATGCACCAAAAACAACAAGGGAAAATCAATGGTGTTGGCTTCTTGGGGTTCTTGTGGGAATGCGGGCCATCTGGAGGCCATCTTGGGCGTGTTAGAACGATAACTCCGCGATGGTAGGCCTCCTGGGGGCCTCTCGCATAGTAGGCCTCGGGGAGGCCTCTCGCGGCCCTTTTCATCTGTGTTGGGGCTGACTTTGGCGGTCTGGAAGCATTCCTGGCGCCCCTACACCCCCATGGCGCGTCGCCCCCCCCCCCCCCCCGCCTCGGTCCAGGAATGTGTATGCGTGTATATATATATGTGTGTTTACGAAAATACATGTATTTACACGTGTACATACACAGATGTCTATATGTATGTATATGTATGTATGTGTCTATATGTATATGTGGGTATATATATATATAACCTATACGACCACCTTTCGGGTGATAAGAAGGTTCGGGGGGGACAGGAACCCACGTCTCACTCGATCGGTCTCACTATCGACCTCACTATCGATCTCACGATCGTCTCGCTCGATCGATCTCACTCGATCGATCTCACAATAGATGTCACTCGATTTATTTCATTCGATCGATCTCAAAATCGATCTGACTATCGATCTTACAATCGATCTCAGTATCGATCCCGCTATCGATCTCGCAATCGATCTCACATTCGGTCTAACTATTGATCTCACAATCGATATCACAGTAGATATCACTATCAACGTCATCATCATCATCATCAACATCATCGTCATCAGCAGCAGCATCATCGGGGCACCATCATCACCATCACCTCACCACCATGATCATC